GTGTGTGTGTGTGTGTACAAGACAGGAGGACAGAAAGGAGGTGTGGTAGGCTGGTACAATTATCACACTGAGCACAGGGGGGCAGCAGAACACAGCAAATAAGTAATGACGATGCCAGGAGTCCTTCACATCACGCAGTAACATCTTTACAACAGTTCTCGTGGAGCGTTCATTTTTATTAGGACAACAGCTCTTTTACTGATGAAAATCTTACCTGTTAAACCCTTGGTTGCAAGAATCTCTTCCCATTGCTCTTGGTTTGTGACGGAAGCCTGGATATGAAAAGACAAACTGTTATCCCCAGAGATGATAAAAGTAGCTTTAAAAAAAAAACACAAAATCACAAAAACACAACCTGCAGCGTTGCCTCCTTTTTCTTGCCTGCCATTTGTTGGGCACTCGTAGGTCAACTTAAACAATATATTTAAACTAAAAATATAAAACTACTGAGCGCAGAGTAATATGCTAAAAAGAAAAGGATAAAGTTTAATTAGCTAAAATGCTAACACGCCGAAATGGTGCTCGCGCTTGTTTGGCCCCTTGGTTGCTAAGCAACGCTGCCTTCCGCTTCCCGGAGTCATCCCAGGCTCCGACTGTTGCTTGTGCTATCTTCAATAATTAATGCTAAGGCAGGCCACATTTTCCTCCTGCCAGGTTAATGTATTACGGCAGTAAAAAGAAGGCATCTCTGATCGGAGGCACACAAACCTGTTTAACTTTTGGATCCAGTTTTTACATGGAGAACTGCAGAAAAACCTCTCTATCAGCGGACCCTGCGGGCTCATTAGGAAAAAAAACAAAAGCACAGGAGCTTAGCTACCGCTGTGTTACACGTAAGCACATAGCTTTTATTTATTCATGTGTATTATATTCTATATCAATAATTAATCATCTGTTTTCTTGTTGATTTGCTTACAAAGGTTCATACAAGATATAAAACGTCCTCTAAGGGGAATTCAGGGGTTCAATGTTATTACACTTATAAAAATAGCAGAAAAGCTAAATCAAAGTGAAAAACACTGTGAGCTTACCACTGTCTAAATCAATGACTGTATATAAAATATATTTTATACAATCTTCAGTTCTTTGTGCCGTTTTTTGTTTTGTTTTTTTAATTTGTCAAGCCACTTAACACTGACCTATGAATCATTCAAGCTTAAAAAGGAAACCTAGCTCAGGGGATAAACCAGTCTTGTGTCTACACATAACAGAGAACTAAGAACCAATTTTAAATGATATCTTTAGGCATTTCTTTTACCGACATCTTGTTGTTAAAAAAACACATTTGTTACAATTTCTTCAGTCGAATCTATGAATACTGGCAAAGATAACACAGTTTTACAGGCATAAAATAGTATTTTTGCACCTACAAGGTGATTACCAAAAACTTGACATATCTCAGCATGGTGTGTACGGCGTGTCTTTAAAGGAAAGTGGGCAAGTAAAGGAACAAAGAAGAAATGCCAGACCTAAACCACTATCTACAGCAGACGAACAGTATACTTGTGTCCTTTAAAACTGGGGAAAAGTTCAGCAAATACCTGACACAGGACATGAGAGATCCATCTGAACCTCAAGTTGATCCATCTATTGTGTTTTTAAGGAACTGAAACAGGGAGAAAAGGCTGGGGTATGTAGGCCAAATTACACAACAACTGGACTGAAAATCGGTGGCAAAAGTTTAAACATCGAAATTGGGAAATTTTTGGTTAAAATCACCAATAGTCTTTATGGAGAAAGAAAATATTAAGAAATAAGGGTGGTTAAAGATTTTTGCACAATACTGTACTTTGACCTCCTAAGACCTGGCGTCCACATATGTGGACATCACATTTTGGGATGTCTAGACCAAAATACCTAATTTTTCTCTACAAGGGCCTGATATCCACTTACGAGGACATTATACTGCCACTGTTCTATGAACATTTAAAACGAATATCCTCATATGAGGCTCTTATTTATCTTAAAGTAAAAAAAAAAGAAAAAAAAAGAAAAGGTAATTCTTTGTTTTTACATTCATCAGGTCCCAATCAACCCAAATAGCAAAGAAAAATTAAATATGCATGCCATGAAAGAGTTCGGGTCTTAGGAGGTTAAAATATGTGTATGTTGATACTAAAGACCTTTAAACCAATAAGATAAGAAAAACTATACAGTATATTCTCTAATTATTTGGCTGTGAAGGCTGCACGGTATGGTATATAGAGACTTTGCAGTCTGTTTTCAAAATAGCAATTAGTTTTCTAAGGTGAATTTAATTTATGTGGTGTAAGAAAGCAGGCTCAGTAAGTAAGTTAGCAAATCACCAGTGTATTCATGTCTGCATTAGGAAAAGTTAAATGCAAACTGTACATCTGGTCCTTTGTATTCCTGGATAAACATGTAGTTAGCAGATTAAGGTGCACAAGCAAAGTGACTATAGCTACATTTTAATGAATATGTTTAGTGGATTTAATCGATTCTTATGTACAGAGTTAGATTGTGTCTTCACCATCTGTAATTACCAGAAAATAACATTTTGTCAAGATTTAATTTTGGGGTTTTTTTGTGGTTCTGGGTAATCCTTATCTGCCACGCAAACAAACCATTAGTCAAACCAAAGTTGTGCTTGCTGTTATTGTAGAGAGCTGTAAGCATATATCAAGAGTTTAACATTGACAACCTGTGTGGGTTGCGTTTGATCGCAGTAGATTGATAATGGTAGAGAAACATAAGCAGATGGCAAAACCAGAAATTATTTACCAGTTTAATACCAGAAAATGCACAGAAAAGTCCTTCGTATCGGTTTAGTCTGTTGACGTGTAATAGATGATTTTGCGCTACATTTGTCATGTAAATAAATGATCTTCCCACTGTATGGTATGTGGGTGTGGAACAGATGTCGCTTCTCTGGGACTGCATATGAAGCCCAGGTATACACAGGCCCTGTGAATTGTTTTGTTAATTGCTATGCTGCAAATAAAATTAAACAACAAAAAAATTTAATAAAAAATACCTTTGTGCACATTTACCAGCCATTACCAGTGATTGAGTTGGGCAGAACAAAGAAAAACAATACTTGGATTCTTTATTAAATTTTTTAATGAATATTTAAACGAACATTTAATAGTATTCCCCCAGCCTTTCATGGCAGGTGGCCACAATCCTGGTTCTGGCAGGGTTTCTTCCTCTTAAAAAGGAGTTTTTTCTTCCCACTGTTGCCAAGTGCTTGCTTAAAGGATTTTCACTGTATTATTTTAAGGTCTCAACTTTACAATATAAAGGGTCTTGAGCAAGCTGCTGTTGCAATTTGGTGTTAAATAAATAAAATTGAATTGAAATGGTGTTTAATTGCCTTTTGCATTGAATTTTGTGGAATCACGTGTTTTGTTTTGTTGTGTTGTGTTTTTTTTGTTTTGTTTTGTTTTAACTAAGTCCTTTGCTTTACACGACTCTCTCATGAAACATAACCAAAATAACTGAAACTGTGCTCTGCAGTGATGTGGATTAACATGACCTTGACTCTGCAAACACAGCCTATAAACATCTGTTGTGAGTCATGATCATGAGTTGGAGAAAGTCTGTAACCTCAGTTCATCCCACTCTGTGTAAGGTGTGTTTGTTCCTTGAGTGTGAAAAGGGACACGGTCTGCTGGCTGCCTGTTGCCTGTTGTGATTATACCTGTTTTTGTTGTGTTTTATGTGCTGGACATTCTAGTAGAATGTGAGTCTTATATAACAAAGTCATTATTATCATTATTGTTGTTGGAATAATTAATAGTTTCCCTAGTATTTATTTTCTCTGCCCTTTGTCTCACTTAGACTTTTGTTCCTTAGTCCCACTGTGTTTCTTTGTTCATTGTTGGTGTTGACTGTGTTTGTTTATTTGGGTCTTTTCATGTTTTACTTTGAAGGTTAGTTTTCCTGCATGGTCCGTTTCTTGATCATTTTCACCTGTCATTGATTGCATGTTCGCATCTCACCCTCTTCTGTGTCTAATCTGTAATCACATCATTAGATACACGCAAGTGCCTGGTTGGGCCTTTTTTGCCTTCAGAACTCCCTCAATTCTTCAAGGCATAGATTCAACAAGGTGGGATTTTAGTCCATATTGACATGATAACATCACACAGCCATCAGAAGTTGGGTAGGTATTAGAGATGGCACGATACCACTTTTTTATGTCCGATACCGATACCGATATCATAAATTTGGATATCTGCCGATACCGATATGACTCCGATATAGTGTTTTTTAATCAACAAAACTGTTTTTTAAATATCTTGCTGCATTTTGTATAAGTTCATACTCAAGTTTAAAACAACAACTACACTAAAGCTATTCTGTTATACCTGTATGCAAAAAAAATAAATTTCATAGTTCAGCAATACTGATCAATCTAATAAACTTAAACCTACACCATCCTCCCTATTCTGGTATTTTAAAGAGTACTTAGCGTAAATATTAAGCAACCTAACTAATAGGGTTCCAACTCCCAGCAACAACAAAAATAAATAA